TATACTTACAGACTCAATTAATCAAGTCTGCTGGAGCGTGGTAATTACTGTGCTCCAGCAGACTCTAATGTCATATGTATTGGCATCCCCACACTGAAAAGGGCAGCGGGGCACTTTAACTAAAGCTAGTTTGATGGGCTTTAGTTAAAGTATCCCCGCCACCATTTTTCAGCGCAGAAATGCTGATACATATGACACTCCAGGCACTTTAATTAAATCCCTCCCCCCACTGCTGGAGCATGCATATAAATCCCTATAGTGACCACATTTAGATTAGGAAAAAGGCTGAGGTAGCAGAATATAGCCCTTTTCTAGGTTTTATGATATCTGCACTATGGCACTAGATGCCTAGGCATCTTTGTGGAAGGTGGGAGACAATGAAAAGGCCTGATCACTATGTAACTCCTTGCCTATAGAAAGTGGAGACAATCTACAACAGAATTCAAGTACAACACAGTAGCTCCTGCTACATGCTTCACATTATGCACTTAACTAGTTAATCGCACAATAAATTTAGACTGGCCTCACATGCAAAGTAACCATCACATTATAAAAATGTTATCTAGCTATAAAGAGTGCCAACCATCTATCTATAAAAGTAGTGCTTGAAAATGTTTAACAACCCTATAGCTGGTTTCTACCCAGCTTTAATCTGAACATGTAGCAGGGCCCATTGTCTAAGTACTGTACCAGTTTAAAACCTAGCCTAGTCATTTTAAAAATGAAAAACAATTGAGGGTACGCATAAGCACAATGGCATGATACTTTCTATTTTCCAAATCTAACACAATACTTACTAAAATCTGCAGCAAATACATTTTTGCCACATTAATTCCTCTCAGACACTTCAGCATTGTCTCTTGATAAAGTGTTCCATTAGAATACAACAGTCCCATTTATGATGTGAACAAATGGCCAAAATATGTGACATTTAAAGCTATACCAGCAAGAACAACTTATTAGTCATTTTGGTTTACTAAGAACTTAGAGAATTGTGTATATTCAGGAATACATACAAAAGCTGAAATTCCACTAGGAAATTTGGGTGATAACAACCCTTAAAAGTGATAAAATGGTTAGTGACATAAGCAGCGTCACCAGAACACTCAATGGACCTGTTCATTCCTGCTTTCAGTGTGATATTTGCTTGCTGGCTGAATTTGGTTCTAGTATGTACATTACTTGAACACCTTTCTTTAAAATACAAAAATGTATTTACACAGCATCTCTCTACTCTTTGTTGCTACTCCAACTAAACTTACTTGCTCCAATTTAAAAACTTATTCTGCACTGCTTTCCAACACAGCTTTGAGTTGACACAGTGTTAGCTTCCATGACATACGGTATATCTGAACTTGATTCTAAACCTGGAGATAACACAGAATGAAAACATGGCAGAGCAACAGCCTAGTAACTGGCTGGAAATATGCATCCATATGGGAAAGAATGGGTATGATTTCAAGGTGATTAAGAAGAATGGACGTTTAGGCTATTACCCTGTGTGTGATGGTTGAGGCAGGCAATTACAAGAAGATAAAAAAGCACGATGCTGCAGTTAATGGCAGTTGAATACCATGCTAAATTTGTGCCATTTTACCCCTGCTTCTGAATCAGAGCTCCTGTGAGATACTGTCAATCACAAACCAGCTTTAAAAAAAAAAGAGCCACACTTTCTGGGTACAAAATTTGAAACATCAGCGGATCAGAAGCACTTAGCATTCACTACCAAAGTCGGTGGGAACTCTGTTCCAAGTACCATAAAACAGTAAGTATACTGAAAAATCAGGCACCATGGTGTCCCAACTTAGATACCTCAAAGCAGTCAACACTTCTGACAATTTAGCATTTGTCTTTGTACTTTTGAGTTCGCCTACATAAAACAGAGGACCCCATCACCATACAAAGGCATTCTGAAAATGAATGCATTTGTTTTTGAAAAACTAAACTACAAGGGTAATGGTAGAGGAAAATGCTATCGGGGGGGGGGGGGGGGAAATCTGTATTCCGTGCAGGGTTTGAACAAGCAAGGCAAAATGAAATACTGAAAAGCAGCTGAGTGACGACTTTCCATCTCGGGCACAAAATCTGGCAAAGTTTCTGTGGCCAAAAAAGTATGCAGTCACGCCATTCAAGACTGTATCAAATAATCTGTGCCCAGAGGGCTGAAGTAAATTTGCATGGTCACCCTCTGACTTTATCAAGCACTGGACCTTACAAACTTGAATATTCTTTTAACGTAGTTTTTTTTTTCCTTTTTTTAAATACGAGTGTAATGGATATTTATCTTTGTGTCCCACTCCAATCCAGACTTAAATAAATATTCAAACTGAAGTGGAAGAGGGGGTCCGTGTATAAAAAGTGAACAATTGAGACCTCTGATTAAGCTTTAAAAAATGACATAATGATAGCTAACCAAACTGAGTCCTGTGAATGACTCCATTCTTCCTGCTGATGACTTCAACTTAGATAATGGTGGACGCTATTGATATTTACAATTTTCATGTTAAAGACACCTCTATATTCTTTTCTCTTATTCTCATCTCCAGTGGAAGTAAATAAAGCTGTTAAAACTGCACAGTATTTCAGAAAAAACTAACTCAGTGATAAAATTAGTAATCTAGAAAGTGTTCTCTCACTCTATTATATCTTATGAAATGCATTTCAATGGTCATTTTATTTTTAGAATTGCGGGCAGCAGACAAAAAAACCCAATGTACTACCTAAGTATTTTGAAAAAAGCCTTAAACATTTAGGGCTCCTATATACATGCAGGGTGCTGGCTCCCACGTACTAGAAATCCAGTGCATTGGAGCAGACTCAATTAATTGAGTCTGCTGCAGCACGGAAATAAACGCGCTCCAGGAGACTCTGGCGTCATGTGGGTCAGTGTCCCTGTGCCGAAAATGGGGGTGGGGCGCTTTGAACTAAAGCTCGTTCAATGAGCTTTAGCTCAAAGCGCCCCACTGCCATTTTTCAGTGTAGAGGACGCTGATTGATACATGTGACACTCAGGCATTTTTTAAAAGCACTCGCTAATCAAGCGCCCCCCCCCACCATGTGTAAAAATGCCCATAATGCTATCCTTGTAATACTGGCATTGTACCATGTATAAAAGTCAATGAAGTATTGACTTAACTGAACCTTAATTTTCCTTATTTCTAACTAACTGAATTGCTACTGATAAATAACATAGCATCTGCCTTCTCATAATATAGTGCATTTCTCAATCATCTTCCAAGTGAAGGTGGTCTCACAAAGGGCATGTTCTCCATTGCTTTGTTCCAGAAACTTTCAAAACCACCCTTGACAATTCCTGTGCTTAATCTCTTTAGCTCAGATAAGCACACATTTAATCAAAATGGATTGGTTAAAGTTAAAGTGCTTTGAACCTTAAGAGCATCTGTAAATACCTTGCTGAATCGGGGCCTTCAAAAAGTCGTTTAAAAACAAAAAAGCAAACGAAAAACAGCTACCAGGTAAATATTGTACTTGGGCAGACCAGTGCCTCCAAATATCACAGGACCTCGGCCTGAGGATGGGAAAGAACATAGCAGGCGTTCTGCAAGAGACGGCAAAAAGTAATCTGTTTTAGAGCTCAGAATCATGGGAGATATGGTACCTCTGTTCTACCTAGCTCAACAACTCTGGAGAACAAAGGTAAGGGGAATAAATCCATCCCTACTTTCTGATTCAGCCCTACAGATCCAGTGGAAAATGAAATAATTCTGACTATTGATAAACTGGGTGGAAAGTTGAGTGGATGAAGTATGGTACTGTACTATTTGCCTGTAAATATCATTGCTTCTTTAAATGTTGTCTAAGATCAAGTATTGAATTAGTAAAATGAAAACTATAGGTTTTTGGAGACCAAAGATTTACAAAAGTGAAATGTGCTGATGCAAGACAGCTAAGGATAATTATTTAATTACTTTATAAAAGCACTTAAAGGCAGGTAGAAGTAAGGACTGCTTTCTACAAACCGTGTATTTTTATACAAAAGATATGTATAGAATAGGTTTTTATTTGTTCTAACTTCCCCATCATAACCAGTGTCTTCGCATTAATCTCTTTACTTGTGAAAATTCTACATATAAAGACACCACTGCATAGGCATTCAACTTCGAAACAGAGAGACAAACTACAGAACTGCTTGACTTAGTCTGTAATGCAGTCCACAAGTAACTCATGATAATCAATAACGCAACTAATCAGGCAACACTACAACTGACAAAACCAATGTTACAGTTCTTTAGAACAATTACTACACAGAATTTACATGAAAAGATTAGAAAATATTTTCTATAAGTCAGGTCAGCTAATCTCATGATGGTTCCAAATGTTTCAGCAATCGTCTTAGCAGTAACTGACAAATTATGCAAAGGGACACAGCAGTATCTGGACCACATCAAACTTAAATGTGCATTTAGGCGATTGCTGGAAAACATTAAACAATTCCACTGCAAAGTAAGTTCATATTACATGAAGTTATGGATTATAACCAGCAATGACAAGGGTGACGTTCAAAGCTCTCTAAAGTTTCTTAACAGAACCTTTTTCCACAAATATTATCAGATCTCCAAAAAATATAAAATGTTAGCATTTCTACCTCTCAGGAGTCTATTGTATGAGGAAGCATATGATGCTCTCCCTGAAGTTCCAGCTCCTGATTACATCAATGCATGCAAATATCACCTTATTTAAAAAAGAAATTCCTAGCCTGAATTGCTTTGGAGAATAGTACGAACACACACACCCTGAAGACCACAGAAGCAAAAATAAATAATTTTTTTGCTTTAAATCATCATTTTTAAGGTAATTATGATTTTTACTCCTCATTCATTACTGCTGATCATTTGGGATTGGCAATACTGACAGTCTTTCTATGCGACTTTAAATGGCTTGCTCTTTGAAATATTTTTCTGCTATATTTGTCTTCCTGCTCTCTGAGTGCTATTAACATCTGACTCTTAATCAAATCATTAACAAGTTCATACACTTACAGTTCCCCAAACCTTCTGCATCTCATTCATTTCCCAGAGTCTTCGGTATTCAGCCAAATTCCCTTCAGGCTCATTACTGAAACTACTAATATTTTCCTCGTGGACTTGCAGATACTGATAACCTTTAGCGTGAAAAAGCTAGATCAGCAAACTCCAGCAGCAGTTCGGTATAAAGCATTTCTTCTTTTCAGCTTCCCTGCAAATGCGAGTTCCGAGCTGCGTCTCTGCTGCTATGACACATTTCATTTCCAGAAGACGCACCAACTCAGCTACAGCACAAACCGGCTTGTTTTAGAGTCCCTCAACTCTTTGTACAGATTTCGACATCTGCACATTACAATTGAAGGCAGCTCTCAATTAACTGTAAAATGAACATGCATTTTGTCCCACTCTCTCTGCCACTTTCTGCTCTCGCCTGCTTTCAGTGCAGTCTGAAATGGGAAGGCGAAACAATTGTTCCACAAAACAGTGTCAAAGAAAAGAATCTGAAAGTCAAATCAGCCCTCAGCAGCATGTTCCGCTAAATAACTGTGGTCTCGTCGGAAAGACGCAGCTGCTCAAGGCTGGAATCTCATTAAAAAGGAGAAGGAGATGACATCATTCACTATCCCTTTTTTCTACACAAGACCCTCCTACTTCACTGGAGCTCAATACTGTAAACCGTTCAATGTATTTCTATATAGCTGACAGTGTGCAACTAGAGTACGAATTACAGCAAATTGTTTCACAAAAAACAACAGATTGATGCTGTTACATTTTAGGGCATTAAGTGAATCGGAGCAGTCTCCTTTGCACTCACTAATGTAGGAAGAATTTTCTGCAAAAAAAATGTAGGCTATTTGTGTAGGCTTCTTGTTAAGCAACCTAACAAAGCCTTCACTTACCCACTTTTAATTTGCATATCTATTCTTTTTTTTTTTTTTTAAAGCACTTTTCCCAAATTACACATTTGCTGGTTAAAACTCTGGAGAAAAATGCATTTCACTGCTTTGGGATTATTGCTTATGTGAAAAACGTGGTTCTAAAGCCATTTCAGAGGTTCGGACGTCACAAATCCCACTTGGAAACATTCAAACTGAGTACACTTTTAATTTCAAAGCCCCACTTTTGTATACCTCCACATAATGAATGTAAAGAGAGGCAACATAAACAGTATCCTGCTTTCCACAACTCCATTCAGTCTATGAAAACAATTGTCGGTAACAACAAATGGCGCTTTCATCCTCTTAGATTATTTTGTTTTAGCAAGCCTTCCAATAAAACGCCCACTCTGCACCAACTCTCTCTCTTTTAGGAGGAACGTTCAAAATGTTTTATTTGCCACGGTCTCTTTTACACTTTACAGCATGCTAGATTTCACAACTAGCTAATTCCAGATTAAACTGATCAAATGTTGTCTTAACCTGTAGGTTACTAGAGTACAACAGTCCCGACAAAAAAAAAACCACCCAGACTGACAGACAATTGTTAGACTCCTTTTTTCGCCACTTTTGCTCTTACTAACTTTTAAAAGAACTTTTAGGGAAAGGAAAAATAGAAGATTCCTCCAAAATTAGTCTTATACAAATCCAAAGCAAGAATCAATATCTGCCTAGTTCAAATTCCACAAGTCATTTTCATTTTCTACAACAAACTGTAACTTACAATTCAACTATTAATACAACTATACTTTCAACTATAACTTACCATACAACTATACAACCTACAATTCTACAACTTACAACGGACGGCAACCTGGAGCTCGCTTTGAGGAGATTACAATCTGAATACAGATAACATAAAATGCATTGAGAAACAGAGTCGGACTATCTCCAGACTTCTCCAGCCCAGCAGGTTATACAGAAAGCATAACATTTAGAAATTAATGCCCACTTGAAGCACATTTGTGTTCTGAAAACTAACTTTGTATTGACAGTTTTCAAACAGGATTCTTTCTAAACTGAGCTGATGCAAATAGGAATCCCAGTTATTTTTAAAATTCCTTTCCAGAGTAGACGCCTAGTTTCGGATGCTAATTAATGTCTAAGGTCAGTGATTCTCAGCCAACGTGTCATGGCACTCCAGAGTGCCACAAGATCGTTTTAAGGGTGCTTTTATGGGTGCTGTGCAATACTCCTACACAATTCACAAGATAAACTCAGACTTCAAATAGGAATCCAAGTGTCAAAAAAGCATTCTGACCTATTGCATCTTTCTGATTTCTTTGCAATAGGCTCGATCTATGAGAGAAACAGAGAAAAACAGAGAGAGCGCAAAACAAAAAGAGAGAACGGGAGAG